TGTCATGGAACTCAGTATCAAATTTCATAAATTCCTCTAACTTAATCGAATTTCACAACGGAAACCCCTGTGAAGAGCATTTGAAGTGATTTGAATAATTTACTTTTGCTTACGTTATACATGATGACTAGCAAATAGTAATTCCTATTTTTATGATCTTGAATGTGATTCTGCGTTCGAAATCTCTAAATATTTGATATATCTAGGTAGATAACTTTGATAATTTGCTATGAAATTTTCACAGAATTTCTTCAGAATGATCTCAAGAACTTTTTTAGAATAATTCCCCTTCTCTTAAATTTAGAAGCAAATAAGCTTTTACAAACATAATATTGCATTCTTGAAATTCTTTGCAGAACAATCAACACAATTCTTGGAAATAGATCATTTTCGTAGTTAGAAACGCTTAACATCAAATATCAGAACTAAAGTGGACATTTTATACGATAGATGAGGAGATGAAAGTAAAGAGTTGATAGTTCCGTTATAGTGTGGCAGTGTAAAATTTGTATATAGAAAGTAGAAAGCGAACAAAGGATAATTTTGAGGAAGGTACGAATAGGGTAGAGCATCTCCTTTACCAAGCTCATCCGTTAATGAGGGATGGTGAGGGGTGTTCACCGATTTGCTCATGTACCTCTGATGTGCGGAAACAGTTCTATTGATTGTTTCACACTCAAGTCGCCATCTGACGTAAACAACTACCCGATTCGTACCTTCCTCAAAATTGTCCTTTGCTCGCTTTCTACTTTGATAAACAATTTTCACACTGCCGTACTATAACGGAACTATCAACTCTATAATTGAATCTCCTCTTCGGTCGTATAAAATCTCCATTTGAAGTCTGATATTTGACGTTAAGCATCTCTGACTATGTAAATCGTTAAATTCACGCATGAAGTAATAACACATGATTAGTTAAAGCAGATTATTTTCGATTTTTTATTGATTCTTTTAGAAACTCCCTGAAGGCTCCTTCCATAAATCCTTTCCATGCAATTAACCTCAGAAGTTTCATAAATTTCTGCTTAGAATAATCTTGGACTTCTCCCTTGCATTCATTTGTATTCTCCTTAGAATTCCCATAGTATTTCCTCAGAATTCTCAAAACAAAAATCCATCACAAACTTTGAAACTCTTATCAGAATTCCTTCCTCAAAATTCGATTCCATTTGAATTCTTCTCGGAATATATTTCGAACTCAGAATTCTCTTGAAAGTATCGTCAGAAATCACCCCAGAATTCTTTTAGAACTATCCGCAGAGACCATCTTTGGAGTTCACGGGATTTTCATGGAATTTTCATCAGAGCCATTTCAGAACTAATTTTGAATTCTTATTAAAATTAGACCTAGAATCCTCATCCAATCATCATAGAATTTTTCTCAGAACTCTCGTTAAAATGCACTCTCAATTACATTAGAATTATTTCCAAAATTGTTTCGGAGCTGAATTTTGAGTCTTTATTAATTTAAACAGTAATCAAAAGCGACGCCCGTATGTGTTAAGCGAAGCGATCGAAGCTAGACGCGCGTAGACAGGTATGTTACTTCGTGGGCTACGGTACGAACGGGTATCGTTTGTGGGACAACCACAAGCAGAAGGTGTTTCTTGCTCGAGACGTCATCGTGAATGAATCAAGGTATACGTCGACCAGCGAAGAACCTGTGAAGAATGTCAAAGACGACGAAGCGCAACCGGTTTAGACCCGACCGGAATCGCAGGCGGTGGTCCCAGATGAACCAGTAGTTGCAATTGAGCCAGCAAATGAACAAGTTGATCCTCCAAACGACGACCAGGATGACGACAACGATGAAACACTGGTGGAAGAAGATGATGATGAAGAAGAAGAGGTTAACCCGAGAAGAAGCGTATGTGTACGGAAGGCCCCGGCAAAGTTGGGCGACTACTCGTGTCTGGCGTACGCGTTGAATGCGGAGAACTACGTGCAGAACCTATCGGACACCATTGAAGGGATGAAGTCGCGAGAATATTGGTCGCGGTGACGTGAAGCCATTGAGGACGAACTGAAATCACGAGCTGAAAACAATACCTGGGAGCTGGTGGATCTACCGTCGGGACGAAAACCGGTGGATTGCAAATGGGTGTTCAAGCTAAAGATGACGCCGGATGGCAACGTAGACAAGCACAAGGCGAGATTAGTTGCCAAAGGATTCACGTAGCGGTATGGATATGATTACTCTGAAACCTACGCTCCGGTGGTGAAGATGTCGACGGTTCGAATGGTGCTGGGATTGGCAAAGCAGGAGAATTTGCTGATCCACCAGATGGACGTCCGGACGGCATTCTTGAACGGTCATCTATCGGAGGAGATCTACATGCGCCGACCTCCAGGATTTGAAATGGGGGATCGAGTCTGTAAGCTAAACAAATCCATCTACGGTTTGAAGCAGGCATCGAAGGCGTGGAACGACTATTTTCACGATTTTGCATCCCGGATCGGCTTACGCAGGTCCGAGAGCGACAGCTGCCTGTACAGTAGGGGACAGCTGACCACGAACTGGTGTACAACCGGTCGACCGGTTCCATCCGGCAAGTGACTGGCTATGCGGACGCGAACTGGGCTACGGATATCAACGACAGGTATCGGTTTCGGGAATCATGTTCAAGCTGTACGGAGTCACAGTCTGTTGGAGTACCAGGAAGCAGAGCACCGTATCCTTGTCGTCGACTGAAGCGGAATGTTCCGCTCTAGCAGATGCAGCGTGCGAGGCCTTTTGGATCGGCAAGGTCTTGAAGGATTTGGGGGTGGGACTGTGTAGCTTCGAAGAAACTTGAAGTTCGCTACATTCCAACGGGTAAGCAGCAAGCTGACTTGTTGACGAAAGGTTTGTCGACGATACGGTTCCGGAAGCACTGTTCGAGTATCGGAGTTTTCCCACGATCAGTTTGAGGAGGGGTGTCAAGAACGAGCAAACCGATCGTAGTAGCTCTATTAGATATTAGATATGTTAGATGGTAGTAGCCATGAGTTTGAGTTTGAAGTTAAATAAATCATTCTTCTAATTATCCTTCGACAGAAGTAGTCGTCTTTCCATAACTCTCTACTATCACGACAGGAAGGTGTTGCGTACCATCTACGGTGGAGTACAGATGGATGACGGAACGTAGAGGAGGCGAACGAACCACGAATTGCACCAGCTGCTGGGAGAACCATCCATTGCCCACATTGCAAAAATTGGGCGACTACGGTGGGCTGGTCGTCGTAGGAATGCCGCACGACGACCCAGTGAAGATGGTTCTCGAAAGCGACCCAACAGAAACAAAAAGAAGAGGCGCGCAGCGGGCAAGGTGGATCGACCAAGCAGAAGGAGACCTGCGGATAGCAGATGACAACAAGGCCTTAGTCTGATTAGTAAGTAAGTCATTTGCTTGATATTGATGACATTGTTTGTGTGGCCTTCTAAATTTATCATCAATGGCAACCGGCTGGCATTTTTCCCAATGATTACATCCTCAATCGAAAACGTGTCGGTCGGTAAGCCCCAGTTTGACCAGCTTCTTAATGGCCACCCACATAAGATTCGTTTGCGTTGCGTTGACGTAAATTTGACAGTTAGACAATAGATTTAGCTGTCACTTTGCCGCAACGCGTCCGATCCGGATCTAATGTGCGTGGGCCTTTATTGTCATAGCATTACCCAACCCCAGCGTAGTCAAAACTTGTCAGGTGTACATACAATTTCTCGTTTAAAGAGAAGCCCGAATATAAGCTGTTCTTGATGAAATTACGAGACGCCGGTTGAATTCTTGATTGAATCGTTGTTTTTTCCAGTTTTATATATGACAACAAATTCTCTCTCTCTTCACGTCCAAAGTATTCAACCGAGTAGTCAACGATTGACAAAACGTCAACTCGCAACAGTGATGCAGTTTTATATTATATTGCTTGAGTCCTACTTGTCAAAGTGTGCCCTAACGTACCGAACAGTGTGCCATGCTGTGTTTCAGCACAGTATGCAGAGTTGATTGCCCCTTGGGCGTGAGTCAAAACGGCCGAATTCCGGCACAAACTTGGTTCATTGCCGCCAGCGAACAATTATGCGAAGTGGTGTGCTCTTCTGAGAATGTTTGAAATATTTTCGAAAGGCGATAGCAAAACCCTGAAGATCTTCTAAGCACTAATAATTTGAAGATTAGTACGCACGCAGATTTGTAGTAGAAAATTGCCAAAAGAATTCAGAAGGACTCCTGCGAGTTTGTTGCATTTTTTTTTTTTTGATTCTCAGCTGACTTCAATATGTTCTTAGCTTTTTCATAAAACCAAACTGCTATGCCTCTTGGAAGATTTAAAACTATACAATTCCACTGAACATCACCTGCAGTTGGTGGTTTCCAGAACCGTTTTGGACAACATCCAAAGTTCCGCGGACCCCACAATTAAAGTAAATCAATCTCCCAATTTGAATCAACAAATTCATTCCCATCAGTCGCAATTCGCTTCTGCCTAATATCCAGCCGGTGTCCAAATATAGCGCTATTCCGTTGCGGTAAACACACACACGCATCGTAAATCGGTACAGTCCAATTTTGGAGCCTGCTCGGTACTCTATCATCCATTGATCTGACATCGGCGGTGACAAGCGGGAAGTGGAAAAATATTTACTGCTAGCTGTGCACCCGCAAGGTCACGCAATTCCATTCAATATGTAGCAAGTTTTGTCAAGTCAACAAACGAGTTGTTGCAGGGTGCAATGAAGCCATCAACACCCTCCCAAAGTGAGTGCGTTCGTTCCCCGTGTGCGGTTGCTGTTTGTTTGATTGTTTGTTTGTTTGTTTTCCAGAGATCCGGGCACACAGAGAGAGAGAGGTGTCAGATTTCAGCAACCTTCAGCAGAGCTAAGCTGCAAGATTGTATCTACCTACGCCTATTTACTACATTCAATGTGTGATTAGATTAGTGTGCATGCGGTGTGCTCAATCGTTTAGTTATTTATTGAAATAAGGGGGAGAGCTGCGAACGCTTCTCGTGATACATACCGAATTCATGATGAACGGCTTGGGACATAGCCTGGCTGAGCACGGCGTAGGAGTTGCGGGTCTCCAGCATCCGATTGCTGCTGCCGCCACCGCCTCCTCCTCCACCGGAAGGTGACGATTTTGAACTGTCTGCACCGGCTCCGTCCGCCTTAGCAGCAGAGCTGGCAGCAGGTGATCCTACCGAATCACCTCGAGATCCGCTGTTGCTGCTGCTGCTGCTGCCACGCTGATCATGATGCTGCTGCTGCTGATGTGAGGGAACTTTGTGCTGCTGATGCTGTTGCTGTTGATGTTGATGCTGTTGTGCTGAATAGGTTTGCCTTGAGTTGGGTTGTATGTCATCGGCAGCGCCGAAGCACGACACAAACACGACTAGCAGCAGCAGTAAAGTCACGGGAAGCCAGCTTCCGATTGCTCGTACGAATTGGGGAGGTTTCATTTCCTCGCGCCCTCTGCTGCCACGCCACACACACGCACGCACTCTCACACAAGGTCGTTGTACGTCCACGACACGACGGAACACTAAGATTTAGGATGTTTTAGAACCGAACCGACTTGTACCCCCGGAAGATTCCAGACGGAAAATCAAAACTAAAAAGCCAAAACCGATCCACTATCATCGAGCGAGTCTCATTATGTGCTACTCTCTTCGAGGTGATTGATAGTTGTAGTTGTACTTTACTGCCGTCCCGTTTCTGCGTCTAGTACTGCTGCTCCGCCTTTGGCATTGATCTTGAACGGGTTGCTCTCTGTCTCTCACGCGCGATCGAACTTCCGTAATCACGCTCAACTAGAGCTACTAGCTTCGACGTTTGCCTTTTTCGCTTCCAGAAACTGACGATTCTCAGTTGGACGTACGACCTTCACCTTCCTCTCGTCGTCGTCGCCGTCGTCGTTCGGTACTAGACAACGAACTGCTATTTGATGGCACACTTTGTAAACGCAGATATGTAGCTTGGCCCTACCGAAGAGCTAGCTTCCACCTAGGTACCCCAATTAATTGACTCCCGGAGATCTCCGTCGACTGCTGCTGCAGCGCACTATTCACTCTTCACTCCGACGACAAGACGATGCTCGTTTCTCACAACACATGCAAATTTTCCTCTTCCTACAACAGTCCTACGACAACACACAATACACAATTGAATATGATGCGAAAAAATCCCACACGGGACGAGACGGTCGGTCGACGGGAGAAAAAATGTATCGGAAAATTACACCTAAAAATAAGACTTTTTTCCATCTGATCTTTCGCGAGATACACACACTCACACACATACACACACACACACGTTGCACTCCCGGACTCGACCTTCTCGACCCTGCGGCTGCAACAGTCCCGAGCAAGCTTCTTCCGCGAAATCACTCCCGCACTGGTTCCCGCGTGATCGTCGAATTTTTGCAAATTTTCTTCCCCTGTCCTCCAGAACGAGAGGCGAACCTGTAGTGTGACAATATTCTTCCTCCGTCGTCGTCGTCACCACCTTTTGCTATGTACTCAGTAGTTTTTCGTCTCCGTTTTCGGTGGCCACCCACAAATACACACCCGAACCTCGTTACAAACAGCGCGCACTGCTGCAATGACTGACGATCTTCCTTCGTTCGGATAGTTCCTCAGAATGCACGTCCTACTACCTATAGACAAACGATGATCATCTCTATCAGCACTCAGCAGAGGCCTTTGTATTAACACCACTTCTTTTTTTTTTCGAGCACGTACTGTATTAGGATGATTGAAAGACGATCACACAACAATAAATTTTTTCCTCGCTTTGATTCACCTAAAGCTGCTGGTGACACACACTCGGAATCGAACTCACTCGCGGCGCGGCGTATAAAGTAATGACCATCCGTTCCGACGATTCGAGCGAACGAACGAACGAACTTGCTGCTAATAGTAGAAGCGCAGCCAGTTTGCTTGAGCAGCAGCAATAATTAAATACGTAAATAATGTTCTTTTAACGATGGTTGGTGGGCTGCTTGCTCGTGTGGGGCTGTTTTGGTGGTGGATCGGTCAGCAAGTCAGCTCGTGGTGAGACGGTATGTCAAAAGCAGCTGTCATAAACACTGTTCGGTTGCGTCGCGGCGCACCCAATCGCCCAGCCGTTCGTTCCGCTCGCTCACGCCGGGGTGCCTCAATGGGAGTAGGATTCTGTTTTCCGACTGATGTTTGCGACGGCTCTCTCGCTCGGGCACCGTCGTCATCAGCCGAGATGGTTCCTGAAAGTATATAGTGGCAGAAAAACGATAAGTTGTTGGTTGTGTGCGCGTAATGCGAAAAGTAACAGTGTTGTTTGTACAAATTGCTGTGGGTGGTTGTATTTTTACGATTTTTACACACAAACACGGTAGATGCAGTGTTGGCAGGAGTCAGTGAATTCCGATTAGCAGTTTCCCGGTTGTGCGATATACATTTTAATTAAGTATAAAGCCGACAGCCGATGCAATCACTAGGTTAAATGGGTCATTACTAAGACAGCAACATTTTTTTTGATCTTGACTATGGTTCTGCGTTCAAAGCCTTCAAAATGTGTCTGTTTTGACTACATTTAAAATTTTTTGATGTTCATGTAGCGTATGCTAACGTACAAGTGTGACCATGGATGTGCTGATAATTTATTATACAAATAGTGCTCATGCTAATATTGTGTCATCCAAATGCCAAACTCATAATTATTATACAAATAATGCTCATGCTCATAGTAGGTCATACAAGTGTATCCGCGGCAAAAGGGATCCTCTCGAATCTTGAAAACATACGGTACTGAGGCTGTTGGTGTATATTGGGATCGTTCGTATCACTCATTGCAGTAGGCGAACGTGAAACACCTGCAGAGTTTCTTGTTGTGAAAGGTGGCTAATACCCTGGACAGAATATGGCTTGTATCATGTAATGTATCTGTCTTGCAATGAGCACTCATACATCTAGTTTTCACTGGAAATCCTATGTATGAGTGCTCATTGCAAGACAGCCTATATTAAATTATATAAGCCATAGTCTAGTCTGTCCAGGGTATAACCAACAATCAATACGAAACTAACGATTTTAAATTGGCTCACTACTTGACTAGCCTATTGGTCCCAAGCAAACGATTAACGTACTTTATTCTAGTCGAAATTCTAGTACTACGCAATGTTTGTTTTGATTCGCTATGAAATTTTGACAGATAAAATGAGGGGTTATTGGTTTTTCCTATGTTTCGAGGGGTGAATCGATTAGCTTGGGACCGAAGAGAGTACCAGAGCTGAGCCAAAAAGTTGAGCACGTTATTTCGGCACCTTCTAGTCTTAGAGTTACCTCTATGGTATAACCAACAATCAATACGAAACTAACGATTTTAAATTGGCTCACCACTTTAGTAGCCTATTGGTCCCAAGCAAACGATTAACGTACCCTATTCTAGTTGAAATTCTATTACTACACTATGTTTGTTTTGATTCGCTATGAAAGTTTGACAGATAACATCAGGGGTGTGTGGATTCATGCAGAACATGCAGGGGTGAGTGAAATAGCTTGGGACTGCTTGGGACCGTTGTTCTGGTACTGAGTGAGCCAAAAATAATAATGATTTTCTTCGGGACCCAGTGGTCTTAGAGTTACCTCTATGGTATAACGTTGCATATTAGGAGACGTCACTGCTAAAGGGCTAAGTGTCCTACGTGTGGGGATACAGACCAGTCGAAGCATTGAAGCCGTTCACTAAAATAATGTATGCCTTATATTCACATGGACCCAAATGCCAGTTCCAGTATTCCAACCGATGAGAAGGATTCCCATTCCTCTTGAAGAAGCTGTCAACCGAAAAAATGATCAACTATTACAGCGTGACATTATTGAGGTCAAGTCGGGGCCCACTAGCTGGGTGACTCCGTTAGTGGTTGTAGGGGTAAGGCAAATGGCGAGCCGCGTCTCTGTCTTGACCTTCGTCGAGTCAACGAGGCTGTCTTGAGGAAGCATCATCCTATGCCGATTGTCAATGACTACATGCGCTTGGGAAAAGGAGGAGTTTAGAGCAAACTAGACATAAGGGAGGCATTCCTACAAATCGAGTTGGCGAAGGAGAAGGAGTCACGTGATGCCAATGCCACTGCATTCATCACGAATCGTGGTTTGTTCCAACTTAACCGTCTACCATTTGGCCTGGTGACCGCGCCAGAACTGTTCCAAAATACCATGAACGGGGTTTTGCTAGGCTGCGATGGAACTTACTGGTATTTGAACGATGTCATCATCGAAGGGAAATGAAATCAAAGTAGTCGTTGGATTACCTGACCTGGTCACTCCTGTTATTTTTTGCAGTCAATCCAATTCAAGAGCTCGATGTGAGCAATTCAAGTTTGCTTTAATAAAACATTCTTTTGTTCGTTAAGTCTCGGCCTGTTCATTATGGCCCCGTTCTGTCCACGTTGTTCCTTCAGGAAAGACAAATGTCTGTTCAGGGTAACATAATTAGTGCTTCAAGGGGCACAGAATCTCCCATAGGGGAATCAGACCAGCCGAATCGAAAATTCAAGCTATTTTTGTCCTTCAGAGAAGAAGAAGGTTTAACGTATCATGCATCAATACTTGTCAATTGCACCGTTTATATAGTGTTCCAGTGATTGCTTTGATCCAAAATTTCCCCCTAAGGTTTTGTCATCCAGTAAGGTTTGAAACGGGTCAGAAGTTGAATCATACGCCGTCCTCTTTCCAAGAGTGGAGTTCCCGGATGGGCTGCCTCCTCAATTGCATCTGTTGGTTCTGGATCGTCAATACCTTCATATCAGCAGGGGATTTTCCGCCAAGATCGCTGGTTGGAGTTGAGCGATATACTTGCAGGAATGTTTGCAGCGCTTCCTCAAGCGTTTCTACTCCATCCGAACGAATTTTCCGAAGGCTTCTTTTCACGGTGTCCACAAATCTTTCAGCCAAACCGTTGGATTGTGGATGGTAAGGTGGGGTGCGGATGTGCCGAATACCAATATTGGTGCAGAATACTTGGAATTCGTGTCCTGAAAACTGAGTGCCATTGTCGGATACGATTATCTCGGGTACATCAAATATAGCGAATGACTGGTTCATTAGTTTGTTGGTGGCTTTCGCTGTTGTCGATTTGGTTACGTGCACCTCAGACCACTTGGAGTGCGGGTCGACCATCATCTACAGGTCCTGCATAGTCTATGTGAATCCGGTACCAGGGTTTACTTGGAATGGGCCACGATTCTAGTGTCGTTATCATCGGAGCTTTACCAGCTGTGGAACATGGTGCGCAGCGTTTGACGAACTTCTCGATCTCGTTATCCATACCGGGCCAGTATACAAAGCTTCTAGCAATTGCCTTCATACGAACCATTCCTGGATGACCACGGTGGAATTGTTGCAGGATCCTTCGTCGAAACATGTTGGGAACGACGACTCTATCGCCGAACATCACGCAGCCGAAGCGATTACACTGAGCGATTCTCGTCTGTTGTAGTAGGGTTGAACTTCAGCATCGAAGAGAGTTTTGTTGTGCCAACCATGATGGATATGCTTTGTAACGGTTTGAAGAGTGCTGTTTGTTGCTGTAGCCTTTCTAAGTGCTGCGAAAGAAACTGGTACTTTTTCCGTTGTGGCTGCCAGGATGCTTACCAAATCTTCTTCCTTTTCAGGTTGTCGATAATTACGTTCTGCGGTTGCAAGTCACAACCATCATGATGCCATCGGTAAACTGGTGAAAGATTACTGCACCGATGCCAGTGCTTGATGCGTCTGCTGCCACGATGATCGGAAGCTTAGGGTCGTAGTGTGTCAACAACAAGTTTGATTGAAGAACTGTCTTGAACTTTTCGAAAGCTTGCTGACACTTGGATGTCCATTTCCACTTCGTTTCTTTCTTGAGAAGCTTGTACATGGGATAGCGCAATTCTTGTAGGTTGCGCACGAATCTTCCGTAGAAGTTGACCGTGCCCAGAAACGATCGCATCTCAGTGACGTTGGTTGGAGGTGGCATTGCAGTGATGGTTTCGATTTTCTCGGGGTCTGGACGGGTACCTTGTCGGTCCACGATATGTCCCAAGTAGCGGATTTGCGACTGGAAGAAACTACACTTCTCTGCCTTGACGTGGAATCCATACTCCTGAAGACGTAGGAAAAGCTGGTTGAGTGATGCTACATGCGACTCCAAGTCCCGGCCGAATACAATGGCATCGTCGATGAAAGAGCGGACGCCAGGTATTCCCGCAATCATTCCATCAACCAGTCGTTCGAATGCTCCCGGTGCAGACTTCCCCCTGGAGCGAGGCGATTGAACCGGAATAAACCCCGATGCGTATTGATGGCGAGCAGCTTTTTTGAATCGTCATCCACCTCGAGCTGCAAGTATGCATCGGAGAGGTCGATGATGCTGAATATGGAACTGGCATTGAGTTGGGCGAAAATTTCCTCCGGAGTGGGAAGCGGGTAGTGATTAGCTTCTAACGCCGCGTTGAGTCCTGTTGAATAGTCCGCACAGATACGAACCCGGCCGTTTGGTTTACGCACAGCCACGATTGGATCAGCCCACTCAGATAAATCGATAGGCTCGATGATCCCCAATGATTCCAACCTGTGTGGGGTCGTGATTATTATTTGACAGTTCGCATGATTACAGCTGTAATCCTCTGCTTATTTACATTTGGTCCCACCCTATATATATACCGTAGCCATGCTACACAGCCCTACTCAACTCTATACAACTTGTGCCTTGCCCGCCTCGCTGTTCGCCCAACCCCGCATCCGCTCACTTGACCGCGCAGCACTGAGCTCCGGGCTCTTTCGTATCTTGGCAGCTGTGAAGGTAAGACGTGCGTCCCGTCGTGAAGGGGAAAACCTAGGGCAAAATGGCTGGTCTCCGACAGCGTAAATTGCACACAACCGTGTAAATTCAGCATCGACAGCATCTTTCATTTAGCTTCTTGCAATCGTTGAACACATCTGCGTGCTTGGCCTGGAATTCACGTACTTGCTGATCGATTGGTTTTGTCTTCACTTGGTTGCAAACCGAATCGATGGGAACTGACCACAGCTCGAAGAGTTCGATCCAGTCAATGCCTAGCAGGTTCAGATTGGCAGCCGTTGTGACGAAGCATCTTCCTTGTGCAGTTTTGTCGTTGATTTTCACTTCGCACTCGAACTCACCCATCAAATGGAGCGGCTTGTCTGACGCGTTCATTGCTTCAATGGTTGGTTTCTTGATTGCAGGTTTGCCCAGATAGTTCCAGGTTTGCTTCGAGATTACCGTGATGTCGCTCTCTGTGTCCAGATCAAGCTTGGTTTCCACGCCGTTGATGAATGTTGGCACGAACTTTCGCTTGCTTGAGTGTTGAGCGATGTGGGGATTTCACCTTGTAGGGTTTGCTGGATTTGTTGGATGACTTCTTTTCCTCCCCCACCTTGAACGGATTTTGGTTTGGAGAAGCAGCCACAGTACTGTACTGATGATTCGAGAATGGACACAATCCCGAATACAGTGCATCTGGCCGCATTGCCAACAAGGTGTGCGAGGCGATTTACATTCCGTCTTCGAAGACTGTTGTTGTCGAAAGGTTCCCTTCTTCTCCTGAACTGCGTGCACCGTTGGTTTTGAGCTCGACTGACGCTCGATCGTGGATGTGTCCGCCTTGAGATTGACGAGCCGTTGATAGTCGTCGATCAAGTTTTGGAGTGTTACGGGAGCTTCTGGTGTTTCAGCTTCGATCCGGGAGAGTACCTAGCCTGCCTCGTATGTCTGCATAGCAATGGCTTTTGAGACCGCAGACAAACACCAAGCATTTGAATTGGTCAATCTTCACGTTCTTGAAATCGAAATCCTCGCAAGCACGGTTGACTTTGCCTCCATATGATGATGTCTTCTGCTTCAGATTTCACCAGCTGCAGGCACCGAAGATCTTCTTGAGGGTTTCGACTGTGTCAGCAAAATTGACGTCTTTTTCGAAGCTTCGGCAGGATGTAGTTGGTGTACCGGGTGTGTGACGGTGTATCCAACTTCCTCAGCAGCAATCGGACCTTGGCCTCTGTTCGTTGCCAAGGCCTCGAGTGTTTGCTCCGGGTTGCTATGGACTTTCCTATTCTCCTTAATTGAAGATCGGGGGCAATTGAATTGAAACAATGAAGTGACCAAGCATGAAAAATGTGAAATATGTGCCGGTAGCGTCGACCAGCCTAATCTCTGTGGATAGGCTGACTTTGAATCATTTGGAAGTGCATTTCAACAATGAAGACTGCAGAATCGTGAACTCTGGGACTGTCGTGGCGATGGGTTTCCACCATGGTGGTCTGTATCACCTTAGAGTTGCTGAATGATCGTAGCAGGCAACATCGGGACAGCACAAGAAGAACTGTCAACATCAGCGACATCGGTGGACAGGACACTGCGACTGGGCGGCTGCAGAGTACATCGGTAAGGAACAGCTTGCGACCGGAATGCAGGTGAGTGACTTTAGCTTGAAACTTATGTGTGGATGTGGTCTATAAGGGAAGGCATCCCGAGCCCCATTCCCTGAAGTGACTGAAATGAAGTCGTTTCAAGTCCTTGATATCGTCCACACGGACCTTTGCGGCCCGATGAAAACCGTCAATCCTAGCGGAAATAGATACGTGATGCAGATCATCGACGAGTATATCAGGTTCACCGTCACTTACCTGCTGGAGAACAAGTCGGAAGCAACGCAGAACATTGTCGACTATGTGCGTTGGGCAGAGAACATTTTTTGACATAAATCGTAAAAGAAACAATAGATCGATCACGGAAATGGCAACATGCATGCTCCTTGATTTCGGTCTTGAGAAGCGATACTGGGGCGAAGCTGTTCGTACCGCAACGTATCTCCAGAACCGATTGCCATCTAAGATTGTGCTGAAGAATCCCTACGAGCTTAGGATTTTCAGTACGCTCTTAAACGACGCCGCACCGCTACTGATCGGATTCAGTTGCTCGTCGTGAGCCGCTGTGGGCCATCTATGCCAAGTGCGTCACCCTCGTTCCAAACAACATACAGCTCGCCAGCCTCATCCGTGTTGAATACCCTAATTGCTCAGCATTACTCAACCATCATAACAAACCGGTTCTTTTCAGGACCACCATAAATTATTTCTGTTTAAGAGTTAACTTTCATTGAACGTTCGCTCGCCTTGCTGCCAGCCACATCACCCTCAAAGCTCTTTGATAATGTACTCAGCAACCAAACGATTGTGGTTGAATGCGTAACACTATTGAAGTGGTACATACAAATTCTCGAAATTATCTATAGAATAAACTAAAAATTCCGTGCGTTTTGTGCAGGACAATGAGAAATTTGCGTTATCAGGAAACGGGGCGAAAAGTGGTTTCCCTAACACAGTCGCCGAATATTAATACCGAGCAAAAAATCCTACGTCAAATCTACGCTCGTGTCATACTTTTTTTAATTTCATCTGGCTGCCCTGCACTGCATCTACCCACACAAAAATACATTGCACAACAATCACAAAACTTACCTTCCGTCTCTTTCCTGCCAACTCGCCCAAAACGAGTAAACATGAGATCAAAACAGCCCAATGAGAAATGTACACGACAATCTTTCTAAAGGATATTTCTAAACACTGTTCTTCCAACACTACATACTAAACAAGCTAATTATTGTACCAATTGCACCCTTCAGTCATTAAATTAAATTCTCACACACCGCTTTCTCCGTTGACAGAACCCACAAACGCACACACGTACGACCGTCGACCGCCTTCAATGATACGTTGTGCAAAATTTTACCGATTTCCAAAAACCACCTGCCTCTTTCAAAAATGTATATTCAATATTCAAGGGGATGTCCCAACAAGCGGGAAAACAAAATTCAAATTGTTTTGTGCGAAAAATGTTTTTTTTTTCGATGCACTCACGACGAATCAAACAAAAATTCGGCCGAAAATTGACCAATCAGACACGCACGCGTACGTTCAACAACCCGACATTAATCATAATAACCAACCACACGGAAGCAAGTCAAACGAAAGACTGACTGCTGACGACTGGTCGATGGAAAAAGTAGCGGTATTTTGAGTGCGCATCATCCATCACACAATGATGTGGGAATGTGTGTGCCATTTGACAGATAAACGATAAGCAGATGATTGCAATCATAGGGAATGTGAGGGAGAAATTAGCATTCTAGGGGCCATTGATGATAAAAATCTTTATTTTGAACTTAAAAGCGTTACGTCTCATCCAAATTTAAGTAACTTAAGCTTACATTGCATTCTCGTCAAAAATACGTCATAGATAACTTAAAAAAAAAAACTACGATTCAGTTTACTCAATCGAATACTGAGTGTTCAGACCTTTTCCGCCAGCAGCCGTTCCTGGCTGTCGGGATTCAGCTTGATGATCTTCTGCTTCGCCGCCTGGTTCGGGTCGTAGCCGTACAGGAAGATCGAACCGATTACCAGCGCCGCTCCGAAGGTGAACTGCAGCGTCAAATTGAAATCGAACAGATACATCGACGCCACGCAGGAAATGATGATGGCCAACGAGGTGGCAAAGCCCTTCAGGATGTTGTCGGCATACTTGACGACGACGGCCACGATCAGACCGCCACCGGCCTGCAGCAGGATCAAGTACCAAATGAAGCCATCGTAGCCGTAGAAGAACCCGCTGGTGGTGAGCTTTGCGCCATCATTTGCGAAGCAAGTCAACAGACCGAAGGGCAGACTCAGCAAACTGAGCTGGATGTTTCGCATCCAAACGGAGATGTCCGCACCTTTGAGCATCTTTTCGAAGTAGATTCCGGCGAAGCCGGACAGGAAGCACGCACCCAAGGCGGCACTTAAACCGAGCAGCCGATTCTGATCCGGTTCACCTAAAACAAAAGACAGGAAGTTGTAGAATGCTGCCGGCAGCGTGTCATCCCGGCTACGACCCACCTGGCATCTGCTGCTGCCGGGAGGCGGCCGTCCCACTGGAATCCGTCTGCGCCAGCTGTACAGTGGCCACTCCGACCACCAGCGCCACTAGGGCACCCCACTGGGTTGGGAACAGTTTCTTCCGGAGGATAATCACCGCAAACACAGCCGTCGTCAGAATCTTCAACTGATACGTCACCTGGTAGGTCGCCGCGTCCAGGTGGGACGCCGAAACGTACAGGAGATTGTTCTGCAGAATGTACAGGAACGAGGGCACGCAAATTTTGAGCGTATCCATCGGTTGCTTCACGATCGTATTATGCAGAGCGGCCTTCAGCCGGTGGACATTCTTGCCTTCTTCCAGAAACACCAGCACCAGACTGGTGACCAGTTTGGCCACCTCGGCCATCACGACGGCCGTCGAACTGAGGAACATATCACCCGGTCGGGTCCGGGCGTACCGCATACTCAGCCCCAGGATGGCATTCTGCAACGTAAGGGTGATCAGGCTGAGGTACTTCAGGTTGTTGCTGGTCGATTCTGGCATGAAAGGGTGAGATTCGTTTCATTTAAATTGAGAACACTAATTTTGTTTTTAGAAAGGAACTCGAGCAGCACTTACTTGGAGCCATCTTCATGCGAGAGGTACTTTGCTGACGGATGATTGCAAAAGAGGTCACGGAAACCAGTTTTTGTTTATTTTTCTTTATTCTCTTGGCAGCAGCAGCAGCACTATCAGCAATGGTTAAACTAAAACCATTTTCGTTGAAACTTTTAACATAAAAAAATAACCGGAAGCCGAATTCAGTGAACTAACCAGCATGCGTGGGTGATGCTATCTGATGCGATACACGAATTTGTGATGATGTGTTTAACTGTGTTTAATAGTGCTTGTTCGCTGGTGCTTGTTCTCCGTCTCGCAGTCTCGACGATCTGCAGGCAGCCAGGGCAGACATTTTTTGATTACGTTGACAGAAATGCACCGCGGATGCGGTTTGTTTACAGTTTTTTTTTATGGTCGATGACTGGTGATGATGACAGTTTGATCGGGGGTGAGGTTAGCCCGAAGTTTGAACTGTCCCTAGCGATAAAGAAGAGCCATAGTAATTGTAAATAAATAACGCGTGCGGGTGCGAAACGCTCGTGTGAATTGTGAAATAAAATTTAGTATTTCTTTATAAAATCGCGATTGTATCAATACGAAAAATTGGAGGAAATTTCCGAAGTGCCGTGCCATGAAAACAACAAAAATTACCGATGTCGCCATGATGGAAGATAAACGGGATAATCCCGTTTTGTGTAAGTAAAGTTTTACGTTTTTGGGGATGTTGTACACGGTAAACAAAAAATACTCAATAATGACGAAACAATGCATTTTCGAGGGAACTGTTACTCATTTATTTAGTAATAGTAACAATCAATCAATCAATACGAAACTAACGATTGGCTCACTACTTGACTAGCCTATTAGTCCCAAGTACATCGACTAACGTACCCCATTATAGTATAAATTCCAGTATTACACTATGTTTGTTTTGATTCGCTATGAAAGTTTGACAGATAAAATGAGGGGTTAGTGGATTTTCCTATGTTTCGAGGGGTGAATCGATTAGCTTGAGACCGAAGATAGTACCAGAGCTGAGCCAAAAAGTTGAGCTCGTTTCTTCGGGACCTTCTAGTCTTAGAGTTACCTCTATGGTAATAGTGACTCAATTATTGGGTAGTCCGAGGGGGACGACTCTATCTACGATGCACAAAAGATTGTGTTTAGCTGATGCAGAAAAACTCTAGATAGAGCTGGAATTAGGACGTAACAGCCATTGTAAACAATGACTTCTCTCGGTGATTTTTTCTATGAATTCAAGCCACGCCTGCACAAACCAATATATCCATCACGTCTTCTTCTACTCGATGGTGATGTCGATTTGCCAGCGAGTGTCATGACTTTCGAATCATCATCGCGAGAAGTCATTGTTTACAAAAGCTGTTACGCCCTCATTGCAGCTCTATCTAGAACTTTCGTTTTGCTGTTGTGAGATGTGCGCACGCTTAGTCCATAGAAAGAAGATTGATGAAGATTTTGAAGTTTTCCTGCAAAAAATAGAGAGCGATTTACAGTAGATTGAGGTGCAAGAGATGAATAAAGATTTTTCGTAGATTGATTCGGGAGATTTTTCGACCATCTAAAATTGAGATTTGCTTCCAGCTTTTACAGTGGACCGAGCAGTGGACTTCCTTCAGATCTTCTTGCGGGCTTCTTCGAGATCTTCATGTGGACTTCATCCAGTTGTTCCTGTAAGCTTCCTGAATCTTTCAGTGGAATAAATCCAGATCTTCCTGAACTCCAAAAGTGGACTTCTTCCTAATCTTCTTCAAGACTACAAGACTACTGTGGACTTTCTGCAGATCTTCTTGTAGACTCCCTCCAAATCTTTCTGCGGACTTCCCCAAGTCTTCCGAAGAACTTCTTTCGGATCCTCCTGTTGACATCCTCTACATCTTCCTGTGGACATAATTTTCCTATAGACTTCCTGCAGGTCTTTCTGTGGACTTTCTCCAGATCTTCCTGTGGCCTTTCTCCAGGTCTTCCAGCAAACTTCCTCCAGATCTTCCAGTAAACTTCCTCCAGGTCTTCCTGTGAACTTTTTCCAGATCCTGCTTCGGATCCTCCTGTGGACTTCCTCCAGATCTTCCTGCGGACTTCCTCCAGATGTTCCTACGGACTTCCTGTGGACCTTCTCCAGATCTTCCTGGTGACTTCCTCCAGATAATCCTCCGCACGACATAAAATTTAATTATCATTGTATCAAAACGGTCTACTCTTGATTGACGACAAATAAATAAATAGATCTTCCTGCATGGTACCTTCCTGTGAGCTTCCTCCAAGTCTTCCTGAAAACTTCTTACACTTTAGATCCAACGGTGTAAATCCTTCAAATCATTCTGCGGACTGCTTCCACATATTCATACAGACTTCCTAAAAGTCTTCCTGTGGACTTCGTTCAGATCTTCCTTCAGATATTCTTATAGACTTCCTCCCGAGCTTCCTCCAGAGCATGCTGTGGACTTTCTCCAGATCTTCTTGTCGACTTCCTCTAGGTCTTCCTGCGGTCTTCCTCCAGACCTTTCTGTGAACTTTTTCCACACTTCTTGTCGACCTACTCCAGGCCTTCCTGAGGTCTTCCTCCAGACCTTCCTGTGAACTTTCTCCAGATTGTTCTGTGGAATTCCTTCAGACTTTCCTGCGGACTTACTCCAGATCTACCTGTGGATTTCCCCCACATCTTCTAGTGGACTTCTTACGGTTCTTTCTGTGAATTTTCTTGCGTTATTCCTGTGGACTGCCTTCAGAGTTTTCAGTGAACTTTCTCCAGATCTTCATGTTTGCTTCTTTCAGATCTTCCTGTGGATTTATTCTAGATTTTCATGTGGGCTTCCTCCAGATCTTTCAGTGGTCCGCTTCTAGATTTTCCTGTGGACTTCCTCCAGATTCGATCCAGAAGTACTATTATATTTGGAAATTCTAGGAGCTTCCTTGTTCCTTGAAATTCATTAAGAATCTTGTAACTTTCATATTATTAAAACATCTACTACTAGTACTACTAAATTTCTTGAAACTAGTTATAACCTTTTTTCAGAACTTCCTTGAACTTGAACCATAGGAAGTCGTTGAACTTTTCGTAAGAAGCTTGTTGAACTTTCCGTAGGAAGTTCCTTAAACTTTCCGCTGAAAGTACCTTGAACTTTCCGCTGGAAGTTCGTTGAACTTTCCGTAGGAAGTTCCTTAAACTTTCCGCTGGAAGTTCGTTGAACTTTCCGCTGGAAGTTCGTTGAACTTTCCGCTGGAAGTTCGTTGAACTTTCCGTAGGAGGTTCGTTGAACTTTCCGAAGGAAGTTCGTTGAACTTTCCGAAGGAAGTTGGTTGTACTTTCCGTAGGAAGTTCCCTAAACTTTCCGTAGGAAGTTCCTTGAACTTTCCGCTGGAAGTTCCTTGAACTTTCGGCTAGAAGTTCATTGAACTTTCCGCTGGAAGTTCCTTGAACTTTGCGCTGGAAGTTCCTTGAACTTTCGGCTAGAAGTTCCTTGAACTTTCCGCTGGAAGTTCCTTGAACTTTGCGCTGGAAGTTCCTTGAACTTTCCGCTGGAAGTTCCTAGAACTTTTCGTTGGAAGTTCCTTGAAATTTCCGCTGGAAGTTCCTTGAACTTTCCGTAGAAACTTCCTTGAACTTTCCACTGGAAGTTCGTTAAACTTTCCGCTGGAAATTCCTTGAACTTTCCACTGGAAGTTCCTTGAACTTTCCATAGGAAGTTCCTTGAACTTTTCATAGGAATTTCGTTGAACTTTCCGCTGGACGTTTGGTGAACTTCCCGCTGGAAGTTCCTTGAACTTTCCGCTGGAAGTTCCTTGAACTTTCCACTGGAAGTTCCTTGAACTTTCTGCTGAAAGTTCCCTGAACTTCCCGCTGGAAGTTCCTTGAACTTTCCGCTGAAAGTTCCTTGAACCTTCCGCTGGAAGTTCCTTGAACTTTCCGCTCGAACTTCCTTGAAAGGCCAATCAATTCTAACCTCAAACTAACAAAACATTCTCTTCTCTTCATCTCCCTTCCACAGTAAACTTCCAGAACGCCGAAATGGGCTACAAGAACGACAGCCAGATTCAGTGCTTCCGTGCCGAGGACGTCGATCGGGCAACCCGCGAAGGTGACCCGGGCGCCAAACCTTCCCGGATGGCGGTAGTCATCAGCGGTCAGCAAGCGTACCGTGGCTATCTGGGCGAGGGACTCCCGTCGGACCTGATGGACACCTACGTGGCCATCCGGAGCAAAAAGACCGGCAAAATGCGTCTCATCCAGCTGGAGGAATGCACCATGCTGAACGCCTGCTACGACGACAACAAGAACAAATTCCAGGAGCAGGAGAGTTCGCTAACGGTGATGCGGAAGTTCGGCGGTAAGGTGGCCATTCGAGCTCTGGAGCGTATCGAACGGTCCGGTAGCAACATCGATGTGATGAATGATAGCATTCAGCAGACGGTCCGGGCGTACGACGACGAACAGTTCACCGAAGAAAATGCGTTTTTGAAGACCAAAGTGGAAGGAGAGTTGATCTTGGCCAGCATAAAGCCACCGAGAAATCCGGAAGCGAAAACGCCAATCGAACTGTATCGTTTGGAAGACTTGTTGTCGGAGCCGGTTCTCAACAGCTTGAAGACCGCCGGATTGGGGCTAATGCAAAAGGATCCGGAAACGCTAGAACTGTCCAATGTCTATCTGACGAACAAGGTAAAGGCGGCTCTGCAGTCAAAGGAACCAGACTCTGATGAAAATGTTCGCACGCTACAGATTTGCCTGTACATGGATGCCTTATCTCTGCTGCTGCAAACGAACGCTAGTAACTTTGAAAAAATGACACTGTCGACATATTCAAAAGAGTTGTACTTTGAAATAAGACGAAAGTTTTCCGAAGTCCACCATCATAAACCGTTGAAGACAAAATATTCGAAACACAAGGCTCTGACTCACTATCTGGCAATGGCGTTTGTGTTGGACAATGGAGTGCTGAATGTGGATCAACTTCACGGTGGATTGAACATAAACAAGAACGAACTGTTGAAGTTTGCCGCGTTTATAGGCGGGTCGTACAATTCGGTGAAGAATGTGTTGACGCTACGAATGACCGGAGGGGAGGCTAGCACTGGGAGACCGTTCGTCAACAGAAAGCGGTACGGAAAGAGGAACTAGTGATCAGAGCAAACAACAACTTGAACAACTTAATTCATTCAGATGTATCATACATTTATGTAATTTTTGCACCATAAGTTGATTTCTGTGTAATGACAAAAATACATGGATTATATTTAACCTATTTAACAGACTGTTCATATTTCTTTTCCGAAATCCAACGCATAATTGTTGATGTTTGTATTTCTCTCTAAACCCGTTGAAGCATTTCATACTCTCGCTTTTTAAAATGTCACACCACACGAGATCAAATTGCATAGAAGCTGTCTCAGAAATGCTGTCGCTTTCGTTGGCAGCATTGAAAATCGCCAACGGAATAGTCTGGAACCTGTTTCGTAAGGAATTCCGAAAAATCCACCGGAACCTTAATTTGCCAGCATCGAAAATATCCACAGAAACTGCGTGGAACCAACCGGTGGAAACTAACGATTTTAAATTGACTCACTACTTGATTAGCCTTTTGGTCCTAAGCAAATCGATTAACGTACCCCATTGTAGTCGAAATTCTAGTACTACACTATGTTTGTTTTGATTCGCTATGAAAGTTTGACAGATAAAATTAGGGGTTCGTGGATTTTCCTATGTTTCGAGGGGTGCATCGATTAGCTTGGGACCGAAGAGAGTACCAGAGCTGAGCCAAAAAGTTGAGCATGTTTCTTCGGGACCTGCTGGTCTTAGAATTACCTCTATGGTAGAAGCCTAGTCAAGTAGTGAGCCAATTTAAAATCGTTAGTTTCCACCGGATGCTCTAACGATTTATGGATTTATTTCTTTATTTATTGGAGCAGGTTCAAGTCGAACAACTGGAGGTTTTCGATGCTGTCAACGAAAGTTCCGGTATTTTTTTCTCTGAATTCTTGATGGAGCAAGATTTTCGATGCTGCCAACGAAAGTTCCGTTGGATTTTTCTCCAACTCCAGAAAAATCCACCGAAACTTTCGTTGGCAGCATCGCGAAATTCCATCAAAATCAACTGAAATCTGCTTCATCGAGAATTCAGAAAAAAAAAACATCGGAACTTCCGTTGGAAGCATCAAAGATCCTCGACTAACTGGAACCTCCTCCATCTAGTATGCATAGAAATCCACCGGAATTTTCGTTGGCAGCATCAAAAATCTTCACCGAAATCGACTTGAACCTCCTCCGTCGACAACGTTAAAAAATCCTTTGGAACTTTGCTTGGCAGCATCGAAAATCTCCACCGGAATAGAAACGGATCCTGCTCCGTTGAGAATTCCGAAAAATCCACCGGAACTTTCGTTGGCACCATTGCAAATCTCCACCAGAATCGATTAGAACCTGCTCCGTAAAGGATTCAGAAAATCTCCTTCGAAATCGACTTGAACCTCCTTCGTCGACCTCGTCAGGCACATCCAGTAAAACATTCGTTTGCAGCATTGAAAATCTCCAACGGAATCGTCGGGAACCTGTTTCGTAAGGAATTCCGAAAAATCCACCGGAACCTTAATTGGGTTCTTTAATTTAAAAAAAATATCGGTTTCATATGATATATGAAAGAGCTTCGTTTTCTGAGCAGAACGATATTATTTTTTTCGAACCCACACACATTCATCTCGATTTTTAAATCAAGATTTGAAGCAAAATAATAACTTCACTGTTTGACACTAAATTGACAAACTGACAGCTCGCTCCCATAGACCTTTTTGACGTTTTATCATCTTTCTCTATCTAGCACACATGGATGAATGGACGGTTTGTTTTCCCACTAATCTGTTTCCCTCTTGCTCGCACTCGTTCGTTTTAAATGGTACAGTAGTGTGCGTCGATTAAACGTCAAAAAGCTCTACACTGAACGAATTTGACATATTCCTGTTATGTGGAAGTCTAATAAATTTGCGCTATAAGATAATCCATTGAAAATGATGTGATTGAAAATGTGTCAGGTAAATTCTATATGAATATCTGATACATTTACAATGCTGATAATTTGGTAACTTTTATATGATCGTCATATGATAAATGAAAATCGATTAAATTATAATAATTAACTGAAATGTATTTGAAACCCATAAGCATAAGCTATACTTTTCACCACAATATAATATATGTGTCATAAATCAATCGAAGTAAAGTTTATGTGAAAATAACATGAAATTTACTTCTTCTTTTGACACATATATTTAATCGATTTCTAAAAATAAATTCGAAAAATAAACATCAGGCAGTGGGAGCTTTCACAGTTGTGTCTTTTTTTTATTGTAGCTGATTTGGGATTCGATCAAGATCTGTTGAGGTGTGATGCTTTCGGTGTCTGTGCTCGATTCCACTGGGCCACGGCTGACTTCAAGATTGAGCTCGTTCAAATAGCATGAAGTAAGAACAGCTCTCCCGACATGGAATGTAGTGCAACTTTATGCTCGTTTTGCTAGAGTGAAGACAAATAGCACTGACAAATTTATGTTCCGTTTCGGTGGTGTGGTTTGTTCAAATCTTTCTTAATGCACCTGTGTGCAATAAATCAACGACTAAATTATATGATTTGATAGAACTGGCTCATGAAGTTCGAGTACTACTTAGGGCTGGAATCTGAATTAGCCGTGTAGAAGGCTTACAATTAGAATCATAGCAAAGTAAATATTACAGTAGAATCATTTTTTTTTCAATCTCAATACATTCTTTTCTGGAACCAATTATCATAATATCATATTATGAATGAGTGTACGTTAACATCGTTGAAAATTGTTTCAATAATTTTTAAAGAACAATCATGTAAGATGTATTTTATTGGGAGCGATATTCATCCCAGAAAAACATGCAAAAACAAATGCTTGCTGTTGGATTTCTTAAAAGGCATTTCTATATGACTATTTAATGATAGGGATAGATCTGTTTACAATCTTTAAACGTCAAAAATCAAAGCAAGCTATTACAATGAGATATACATGTTTTCCTATACTGCAAAGTTAAATGACAGTCCAATAGTTTCTACATGTCTATTTACACGCGACATATCAACAAACGTCAAAAATCAGTAAAAGCAACTCCAATAAAATATACATGATTATCTTATAAGATATATATTTTAGTGAGCAATATTCATCATGAAAACAGGTATATTTTACTGAATTTTCTCATAGTGCAAACTTATATGATTTTCCATTAGTTTCTAAATGTCTGTTCCCACCCATGACATATCAACAGTTTTTCACCATGAAATATATCAGACAATATTCATATACTTCTTACCTTCGCTAACCACGTTCGAAGCAAAGTATTATCAAGTACTAAGTATGTGAAATTACGATAGAAATCATTCCATATCGCAGTCATAGTTTTTAAGTGATAATCCAATGGAATCTATCAATCATCACATAGAATGAATAAATCTGCTGACATTGCTATGTTATAAGATGGATCCAATAAACGGTACATGTCGATTTGTTTCAGTGTATACACTGAACGAATTTGACATATTCCTGTTATGTGGAAGTCTAATAAATTTGCGCTATAAGATAATCCATTGAAAATGATATGATTGAAAATGTGTCAGGTAAATTCTATATGAATATCTGATACATTTACAATGCTGATAATTTGGTAACTTTTATATGATCGTCATATGATAAATGAAAGTCGATTAAATTATAATAATTAACTGAAATGGATTTGAAACCCATAAGCATAAGCTATACTTTTCACAACAATATAATATATGTGTCATAAATCAATCGAAGTAAAGTTTATGTGAAAATAACATGAAATTTACTTCTTCTTTTGACACATATATTTAATCGATTTCTAAAAATAAATTCGAAAAATAAACATCAGGCAGTGGGAGCTTTCAAAGTTGTGCCTTTTTTTTATTGTAGCTGATTTGGGATTCGATCAAGATCTGTTGAGGTGTGATGCTTTCGGTGTCTGTGCTCGATTCCACTGGGCCACGGCTGACTTCAAGATTGAGCTCGTTCAAATAGCAGAACAGCTCTCCCGACATGGAATGTAGTGCAACTTTATGCTCGTTTTGCTAGAGTGAAGACAAATAGCACTGACAAATTTATGTTCCGTTTCGGTGGTGTGGTTTGTTCAAATCTTTCTTAATGCACCTGTGTGCAATAAATCAACGACTAAATTATATGATTTGATAGAACTGGCTCATGAAGTTCGAGTACTACTTAGGGCTGGAATCTGAATTAGCCGTGTAGAAGGCTTACAATTAGAATCATAGCAAAGTAAATATTACAGTAGAATCATTTTTTTTTTCAATCTCAATACATTCTTTTCTGGAACCAATTATCATATGAATGAGTGTACGTTAACATCGTTGAAAATTGTTTCAATAATTTATAAAGAACAATCATGTAAGATGTATTTTATTGGGAGCGATATTCATTCCAGAAAAACATGCAAATACAAATGCTTGCTGTTGGATTTCTTAAAAGGCATTTCTATATGACTATTTAATGATTGGGATAGATCTGTTTACAATCTTTAAACGTCAAAAATCAAAGCAAGCTATTACAATGAGATATACATGTTTTCCTATACTGCAAAGTTAAATGACAGTCCAATAGTTTCTACATATCTATTTACACGCGACATATCAACAAACGTCAAAAATCAGTAAAAGCAACTCCAATAAAATATACATGATTATCTTATAAGATATATATTTTAGTGAGCAATATTCATCATGAAAACAGGTATATTTTACTGAATTTTCTCATAGTGCAAACTTATATGATTTTCCATTAGTTTCTAGATGTCTGTTCCCACCCATGACATATCAACAGTTTTTCACCATGAAATATATCAGACAATATTCATATACTTCTTACCTTCGCTAACCACGTTCGAAGCAAAGTATTATCAAGTACTAAGTATGTGAAATTACGATAGAAATCATTCCATATCGCAGTCATAGTTTTTAAGTGATAATCCAATAGAGATTGCTAAAGTATGATTGTGTCAGTGATTTGTTTTCATCGGGAAAATTTTTCGCTATTAAGTTTTTTTTCCCGATGAAAACATTTTGCGTATACGTATACGTGACGTAGTGTGCGTACGATAAACGTCAGCAATCTCTATGGAATCTATCAATCATCACATAGAATGAATAAATAT